TAACGTTAGACGTTGAAAAAATGTAGGGCATTTATTGGGCAGCTAAAATAAACGTCCGATAAATGCCAATAAATGCCCGGCATATTCCCTTAATTCCATGCCCATGCCATAAGCGTCTTAACCCTATGTATTGGTTTCTCATAATTAAATTAATCCGTTTATGCCTTAAATAGTTTTGTTAACTAATGTATTGCTGTATTTATTTAGAAATATATTTTTGTTGATTTATATAATTGATTAATTGTAATATATATTTGAGTCAATATTATTATTTGAAGGATTATTAAGTTATTAACAAATAATTGACCAAAAGTTTTGCAATACATGTTATCTCTATGGCATAGATTCCTCATTCCTATAGCTTTGCAAACAATTCATTGAAATTATGACTCTATTAAGTGCTTATAATAACACATACTTATAGATTGATATCATTGATTTATTAATAAAGGCATTATATTTATATAAATCACACAATTTGTTGATAACAAGTATATATAATAAATAATTGGTTTGTATTTTAATATATTTAAAAAATAGATGACAAGAAAAATATGTATTTTTTTATGATGAATAAAATGAATTGATGCTAACATAGCAAGGTGGTTTGAAAGCATCAGGGTCTACCAATTCACGTATAGCTGAATAAGTGGAGGCGACGCCCGCTATCACTCCGATTACAACTATAACTATAAGAAATATTTTCACTTTCAAAGTAATTTCCCTAAAATTAAAGATATTCACAATTATTAGCGATTGAAACAATTGATTAACAAAATGACAATTTTATATACCTTTGCGGCCAATCCTTATTCTGGTCCTGTTGTGAGACAAGACTTAAATAGAAAATCGGTGGCAAAACAAATGTCATTAGAGTAACGGATGAGCCGCCGATTAGACTCAATATTTTGCCAAATTGTGGGATCGATAAAGCCGTGAATGCGATGGCGACCATCAGTATTGTGCGGGTTATGCATCGCTTGTATGTGAATGCTATATACCGTGTAAACCATTAATACTTTTAATTATATTCATTTATTAATTAAAAACAAATGTATACATACTTTGGG